ACTATTTAAAAGTCTGAACTATCTAGATTATTAATTGTAAAGGGCTGTTTCAAAGTTTCCATACTAATACTTGTAAGAAAAGACTGGCACCTAAAACAAGACAAGGGTGCCTAATTCCTTCACTCTTATTCAATATGGTGATTGATGTCTCACAGCATCAAGACGGAAGAAGAATAGAAAAGGAAGAAGTAATGTGTTCTTATTTGTAAATAATATAATCCTATTGGCCAGAGACCCTAATGACTACACTAGAAATATCTTTAATTTGATACACTTTCAGCAAAATTGTAGGATACAAAACTAACATAAAAATCAATAGCTTACAGACTAGTAACATGCTGAAAAATAAATCAGAAAAAAGATTACATCACAATTGCCTTAAATAGAGACAAAACAAAAGACCTTGGAATAAGTCTACCTCTACCTCTACCAAGGAAGTAAAAGATATCATCTATAGTACAAACCCTAAAACGCTGAGGCAAGAAATCAAAGGAAATGGAAAGATCTCCTATGGTGATGGAATACAAGATTTAATACTGTGAAAATGGCTATCATACCAAGAGCAATTACAGATTCAATGCAATCTCCATCAAAATCCCAATGTGTTTCTTCACAGAAAGAGAAAAAAAAAAAATCCAAAACATTCAAATGGAAGCACAAAGACCACAGACAGCCCAAACACCACTGTGCTACAAGAACAATGCCAGAGGTATCAATGTACTTGATTTCCATGGTACTAGAGCAACAGTAACAAAAACAGTACACTATCATGCAGCCACAGCTGACAAGAGTGTCAAAAAGAAATCAAAGTATCAGAGAACAGACAGCCTCTTTAAGTGGTGACGGCAAAACTGGACATCCACACATGGAAGAATCTAGAACTTTATCTCTCATCCAAAAGGATCGAAGACCTGAATGTGAAACCTGTTGTGGAATATTATTTTAAGATGTGTTATAATTGTTTATGCTCTTTTGGGGGGCTTGCCACCCAGCTCCCAAATAAGTCTCACATGGAAGCTTATTCTTAATTATGAATGCCTGGCCTTAGCTTGGCTTATTTCTTGCCAGCTTTCCTTAAATTATCCCACCTACCTTTTGCATCTGGGCTTTTCCCGTTCTCTGTAAATCTTGCTCTTACTCTGTGGCTTGCTGTGTAGCTGGGCAGCTGGCCCCTGATGTCCTTTGTCCTTCTCTGGCTTCTTCTCCTCTTCTCCCAGATATCTCCTTTGATTTATCCTCTCTGCCTATCCCTTCTCCTACCTCACTATTGGGCATTCAGTTCTTTATTAGACTGTTTTAGACTTTATTAGGTGTTTTAGACAGGCACAGTAACATAGCTTCACAGAGTTAAATGCAACATAAACAAAAGTAACACACCTTAAAATAATATTCTACCACAGTGGAACATTTGTCTAATGATGCAAAGATGTGTTGCATTCTTTTATATTGCATTTGTTTAACTCTGTGAAGCTGTGTTACTGTGCCTGTCTTTATAAAAACACCTGACTGGTCTAATCAAGAGCTGAACGGCCAATAGCAAGACAGGAGAAAGGATAGGTAGGACTGGCAGGCAGAGAGAATAAAAGAGGAGAAATCTGGAAGGAGAGGATCAAGGAACAAGAAAAGGAGAGAAGGACTCCAGGGGCCAGCCACCCAGCTGGGCAGAGAATAAAAAGAAAAGAAAAGATATAATACAGAAATAGAGAAAGGTAAAAGCCCAGAGGCAAAAGGTAGATGGGATAATTTAAGAAAAGCTGGCAAGAAACAAGCCAAGCTAAGGCTCGGCATTCACATGAAATAATAAGACTCAGTGTGTGATTTATTTGGGAGCTAGGTGGCAGGCCCCCAAAGAATAAAAAGTAAAAAACAACCAACAAGAGAGACCTGAAACTTTGATATTAGTAAAGGAAAAGGTAAAGAAAACACTAAGATAATGGCATAGGAAAGACTCTGAATAGGAGTCCAGTCAGTCAAGAAATAACACCAGCAATTAACCAGAGACTTTATATGGCATTTCCACGTAGAAAAACAGCCTAGAAAATGAGATAAAAAGCTGTGTTAGCTATACCTCAGACAGAGGTATAATACCTGTTTTAAGATTAAAATGTTTTATTACATTTAGTTGTTTAATTTGCATAAGGAGCATGTATGTGTGTGTGTGCAACAGAACATGTGTGGTGGTCAGAAGACAATCTCCAAGTGTTTCTCCCTTCACCATGTGGGTCCTAAGGATCAAACTCAGGTGGCAAGCATGTTTACCTGCTGAACTGTCTCACTGTCCTTAATATCTTTTATTATAGTTCACAAAGAATCAAAACAAACAGCCCAATCAATAAATGGATTAATGAAATGAGCAGACAATTCTCATACAAATAAAATACAAATGGCTAATAAATATATAAAAAATTTCAACACCAGCCATCCAAGAAATACAAATTAAAACTATATTGAGATTCCATCTCACCCCAACCAGAACAGCAGCCATTACAAAAACAAGTAACAGCTGGGTGGTGGTGGGCATGCCTTTAATCCCAGCACTTGGGAGGCAGAGGCAAGTGGATCTCGAGTTCGAGGCCAGGCTGATCTACAAAGTGAGATCCAGGACAGGCACCAAAACTACAGAGAGAAACCCTGTGGGGAGGGGGACAGGGGTGTGTGGGGGGGGCGGCGGACAGGACGGGACACAACATAGCAATAAATGCTGGCAGGGTTGCAGACAAAAGGGAACACTTAACACACTAATAGGAATTGTATGAGAGCCCAGCTACTATGGAAGTTAGAATGTAGGTTTCTCAAGAAACTAAAAATAGATCTACCATAGGGCCCAGCTATATTACTCCTGGATATTTACCTAAAAGAATGTCAGTCAATATATCAGAGATATTTGCACACCAAAATTTGTTGCAGCACTATTTTATTAGCTAGGACAATAGCTAGGGACTAACATGGGTGTCCAATAGCTGAATGGATAAAGTGAGAGCAAACATACACCAGTACACACAGATAAAACACACTATTTTATAGCCATAAAAAAAGAATGAGGTTATGTGATTAGCAGGAAAATAAACGGTACCTGGATATAATCATATAGCCTGTTTTCTATCATGTTTAGGCCCTAGATTTTCTATAAATATACACAATCACTAAAGTACAACGTGAAACTATCTAGGGGCACATAGGCAACTAACAGGAAGAGGAATGGGTGAGAAAAGGGAGAATGGAAGGGCATAAGAGCTGACTATGTCAAAGTACATGTATATATTGTATACTTGCATGAAAATGGCTTTATGTAACCTAGTATAATAAAACTTAAAATTAAAAAAAAAAAAAAAAGATTACCTGAGTTTACTAAACTTGTGCCGGTAAACTGAACGACTTTATTTACAAATCCTGTAACTATGTGGTACAAAGCTGACAGGAAGCTGACAGCAGAGCACCATCAGGAAGCACTCACATGTCAGCTGCAGTACACAGGCCCAGGCTATCACGCTACCCAACTCCATCTTCCCAGCCTCCCTACATGCTGAAGAAAGCAAGGCCTGAGATGTCTGCTGATTAAGAGGACTCTCCGTTGCTATGCTAACAGTGATTTTCAGAAGCGTCGGTTTTTCCTTCTTCACTTTTATCTGCGGTGCTGGGAATGGAACCCAGGGTCTCTTGCATGCTTTACCTCTGAGCCACATACCCAGCCCCTGCTCTTCTTTCTTTATGGTCCAACAAAAGATCATACCTTATTAAAAACATCCTTGCTAATGACATCCATGTTCCAGAGACTCATCCTCTCTCTCTGGACCAGAGCCGCCTCCTTCTGCCGCCATTCTTCCTCCCGCTGCCTCAGTTCTGACACTGCAGTCTGTGCTTTGGCATGTTCCTGATCCAAGGACTCAGAGTTATGCAGTGCTAAGCTGCCAAGTTTCTGCTGGGCTTCAGCAAGATTCCATTTGCACGCCACAGAGCTCTTCACAAATTCTTTCTGCTTTTGGCAAGCTAGCTCAATCCCATCGCTATACATCTAAATAAAAAGTAACAACAACAGTATTAGTAAGGAATGATGGTGGCAACAATATCACAGTCCATTGCTTTTCAACTCCAAGGATCTCTGTGATGTTTCTGGAGCACAGCATATCTGTATTCTTTGTCCTCAATGACATTTCACATTCATCAATTAGACTCTGAGCTTCTTTGTTCATCTATGCCCCTCCCCTGACAACTAACAACACAAAGCCGGGCAACTGTCAGTAACTTGTAACAGCTGGCCCACAACAAGCATCAGATGTGAGGGCTCCAGAATCCTTCACCAGAAGGAAAGCAAAGCTTAAGTCCAGTTCCTCAGTTATTTACAGCTTCTCATCCTGAAAACCAGACCTTTAGAGCTTTAACCTGCAAGTTCTCCCTGCACTGAGCATCCTTTTATTGATGTCTACTTTACTTTTGTGTTATCACAATTTGTGGAGATGTGCGAGTTTGTAATAGAAAATTCTACTTATAAATGATTATATCATATAGGTATTATATATTAACTTAATACAAATGAAAAAAGTAAAGGTTAAATAAATTGAGAAGTGCCAACTGGTCTGTCCTGGTGACTCTGCTCTGAGTATTTACTTTTCATATTTGCATAATTACTTATGTAAATGCAATAGGTATTTAATTCCTTATATTCCTTGTTTCAACAACAAAAGCTGAGGGTTTTTTTTTGTTTTTTTTTTTTTAGGATTTCTTGGTTAAAAGCACAATTTTATATTACTTACTGAGAATCACTGTTCTCAATCTGTTCCCACACCTGTTTCAGTATTCAAGCCTTTATAATTTTACATCTCAACTGTACAAATATAATCCTATTTTTTAGTCTTCATTAGCCATTTTATACTCTACTTGGGTGATCCTTCCAAGAAAGGGAGGCTGGGGGGCTCATGCTATTTATTAGAGTCCATTATTAGAAAGCACAGACTCTGAGTTCCAGTTACTTTTACTCCCTGGCTTATTCTTCCCACCCTCAGGACCCTGTTTTCCCTGACAACCCTCTGTCCTCTACTCAACTCCTGCCCGATCCTTAAGCCTTTTCTTGTCCATTCCTTCCAAACCCAAAGTATACACATTTCTACAGTGGGTTTTTTTTTTTTTTTGTTGTTGTTGTTGGTTCTTTTGAGACAGGGTTTCTGGGTGTACCCTGGATGTCCTGAAACTCACTCTGTAAACCAAGCTGGCCTCGAACTCACAGAGATCCATCTGCTTTGGCCTCCCAAGTGGTGTTTATTTTCAACAGGGTATATACTTAGTTTTCTCTCTGACTACCAGCTTTGTAAGGAGTCATAATTTAATAGCTGTTAGATGAATAAACTAATCTTTACTTCTTGAACAAACTGTTCTGAGGCAGGTAATAAACAAACCTCTCCTACTTCCTGAGTTTTCGGGCCCATTCAAGATTTCTACAGTATGTGTATGTGGACTGTGGCTGTATGTGGACAGTTGCTCTCCTGGTACCTTATTTAGTCATTATGAAAGCTTAAAGCCCAGATACCACCTTGTCTCTAAATAACCAACACTTATTTTTACTTTTTGATACATGAGAAAAATTATGGGGCTGGAGACTTGGCTCAGGGTTTAAGAGCACTTGCTGCTCTTGCAGAGGACCTGAGTTCGATTCCTCCCACCCATATGATGACTCACAATTGTCTGTAACTCCAGGGCATTCAACACCCTCTTCTGTACTTGGCAGGCATCAGGAATGCATGGAGTGCACAAACATTTGTGCAAGCAAACAATCATATACATAAATGATTCTTTTAAAAAAGAAAAATAAGTTAACTACACTTTAAAATGAAGCCATATAAAGGAGGAAAATAAAGCTGTAAAACTTAATTTGTAAAAGACAAAGCCATACCAATAAAGGCTATTATGAATATATGGGGTATCTTTACTTTCTAATTATACAGAAGCAAATGTTTCTCAAATCAAACCAAATACAAGAATTATTTATATTTATTCTGCATGGACTACCCTTATACCATTTGGCCATACTATCCAACATGCATTGGAATGACTAAGTATAATATTGCATCTTTAAAAAAGAATGCAATACAGGGAATTTAACCCATGTTAGGGCAAGAACTCTCTGCTGAGCTACATTCCCACCCTATATTAGGTCTTAATCTGTGTTCATATAAAATTTTAGAAGAACGTAATTTTAATGAACAAAAACTCTGAAAAGGAACTGTTATTATTCAAGTCTACTGGTGTAACTTTACATCAAAAGTTCTCAAATAGCAAGCCACACAAGGGTCCCAGCACTGAGAGGGGTAAGTGGACATGGGCCCTACCCCTAACCAAGAAGCAATGTGCAATTGATAGCTGCTAGAAAGGGAAAATCACTTTTCTTCAGTGGAATGTTACTGGGTACCAGCAACCACACTCCAGGGCAGGCCCTATGCTGAGGAATAGTTGGCCAACACAAAAGGAACTCCATGGGTTTTTGTGGATATTTTGTTTCATTTTATCATTTTAAAATTATTTCATTTAATTATTCTTACTGGTGTTTTTGTTGTTTGATTTTTCACTTTTTGTTTTTAAAAGAGAAAGAACATAAAGGTGGGTGGGCAGAGAGGGGGGAGGATCTGGGAGGAGTTAGGAGAGTGGAAAAACATGATCAAAACATAAGTGTATGAAAAAGTCAATAAAAATACACAGAATTTTTTTTAAAGTTCTCAAAAAGGACTTCCAAATTCTGGCTTGTCTTTTCACACATCACTTGTTATATTGAGATAGCACTCTCTCTCATATTTGATAAAAATTAAGACAGCCATTTAATGCAGATTTTAAAAGCCCGTTGATTGATTAAACATTTTATTTGTTTTTAAATATTCTAACCCCCAAATTTAAGTCCTAAAGCTAACAAGAAATATAAGTAGGCTTGTAATTTTTATGTCCTCAGGAGTAATGACTTTGCACATTTTATCACCATTTAAAGGCCTTCTCATACAAATAAAATTCTATAGTATTTCTCCAGATAGGAAGTGCAGAAGTAGGCTGGAAAAAAACAGAGCACTAGGAGTCATAAGTTCTAGTGAGGAGTCTGCCACTAACTAGACGACCTCAGGGAAATCTCTTTTAATGAAGGAAATAAGCCTCTTGACTTTCAAACCCCCATCACCTAAACAAATGCACAGGGAAAACATGTTTTAAAATACTGAATTTCTTGGATTACTTTTTTTTCAACCACAGTGCAATGACATTCCTGAGATCATTTTCCCTTGCCACATCTGTTCAGACTGACACTACAATTGTTCATTTTCTCCCTCTGTAAGACCATGGATACACATGACACTAGTGAGCCATAATTAGTAGGTGACTACTGACCCATCAACTCTCATTTTGCCTCACTTTCCCCTGTGACTAGTTGGATGAATACAGCCTGTGGTTATGAAACAGCATATTGTGTGTGAACCCAGTTAACTCAGCTGGCTGACATAACACCATTATCCTACATGGCAAACAATTTAAACCGGTCATTTTTATTTAAAAAAAAAAAACACGAACTATTAATTTTGTTACAATATTGTACTGCGTTTTGAGAAGAAAAAAAAACGCCTAAGAAAAAAAGACACCTACAATCAATTTCATTAAACAAATTAGTGTTTTGTCTGTGCTCCTGAAAACTAGTTCAAAACACACGCAGGTGAGAAGTCATGACAGGTGATGTATGTAAGCACTCCCAGAAAAACTAAAGGACATGTCACACCTGGCCGTTTCTGAGGCAGGAAAGCTGGGTAGAAAACCACAAGTAATATCAGGGACTGGGGTAGCACTGCGAAAGAAAAGCCACTTCTGTGGCTGTTACGTTTCACGGGAGGCTGGGGCGGCCCGAAACGGTTTTTACAGTAAGGGACCGGTGATTGAGTGAAAGGGAGGTGTGTGCCAACGTCAGAAGCGAGGCTCACAGATTCTGCTGAGATGTCAGCGTGGGAAAAGAGCACGTGAGATGTTGATGTCAGGACTCGGTGTCCTATTATCCAAGTACAATCACTCACTGTTCCTATCAACTCTGCACAAAGTAGCTGGAGCTCGGAATAAAGGCTCGGATCAAAAAAAAAGCACGTACGAGGGGGCGAATAAAAGTCAAGTTGCACAGCCCGAGCCGCCCCCCGCGAATCTCGGCGCCGACCCGAGAGGGAGGAGAGGGGGGGACCTCTTGCAAAGGTGAGGGGTGGCCGGCCGAGGGGAAGGGACCAGCGAGCGTGCGTGGACGTGGGGATCGGGGAGGGAACGCGCGGGGCCAGCCCCTCTCTCGCGGAAGACGCTGCCGGCGCTGGCCCCCCGGCCCCCCGCGCTGCCCGCCTCCCCTCCCCTCCCCCCGGGAACGCAGGCTGCTCTCACCTGGGCGCCGCCGCCAGGCACCGGCGGGCAGTGGGAAGAAGAGGGGGACACGTCCAAGTCGCTCTCCTCCTCGGCCTCCCCGACAGTCCTCGGGAAGCTCCAGGGGCCCGGCGGCGGCCACGGCTGCTCCATGTCCCGCTGGCCCGGGCCCGACAACCGCCACCGCCAACCGCCCCGGCGTGAGTAGAACCTGCTGGGCGGAGCCAGCCGCCCCGCCGGCCACGGTCGTTACCCAGAATTCCTCGGCCGCCGGCCAGGCCGACGCACGCCCCGAGCAGGCCTGGGCCGTGCCGCCGGGGGGACTGCGGAAGAAGAAGTAGCCGGCCGCGGCGTCATTTCCGGTGGGCGAGACAGGGCGTGGCCGCGCCTGAGCGGACGGGGGAGGGGGGCGGGGGGTAAGGTCCCGAGCTGATGTCCAGGGAGGCCCGCGGTTTTGGGGGTTCGGATCCCGGCGGTCCAAGGGAGTTTTGGCTTCTTCCTCCTCTCGTGCTTCCGGACTGCAGCTCCTCCGTGTGCTGCAGTCTAAGTCGGCGTCGGGGATGGGCGGGGACGGGAGTGGGACGGGGGGCGTTTTAGGAAGCAGAGCCAACTTTGCCTTAACTTCAAGTTACCCACGACAAGACGCTAAAAATAAAACGCTGGAGCAGACACGTTTGTGAAGAATTGAGACGAGTGGTAGACAAATCGGAGGGCTTCCTGCCCCTCAGATCTTGTAGAATCGTGAAGATCCGTGCCCTCGCTGGCTGTCCCTTTTCTCTTTTGAGATGAATTTTTTCCAGATTACCAGAGACCACATTTTAAGAGAAAGACCCAGAGGCGGGGCGGTGGTGCATCTCTTTAACCCCAGCATTCATGAGGCAGGGGCAGGCGGATCTCTGTGAGTTCGAGGCCAGGCTGTCTACAGCTTGAGTTCCAGGAAAGCACAGAGAAACCCTGTCTCGAAAAACAAAACAGAGGAACAGACAGAGACCCAGGGACTGGGAATATACCTCGGTGGTAAAGTCCTTGCCTAGCACAGATAAGGCCCTAATTTCAATTTCTAGAACAGAAAGAGAAACAGCGAGGATGCAAGGAGTCCAACTTAACAAACAACCTGTATGTCTAACAATCAGGCCCTGTTGCCTGCTCATAATTAGACCAGACAACAGAACATCAATCTTTCAGCCTTTGATTGGCAAACTGTGCGAGGGGGCGGAGCGTCACAGGAATAAGCCGGAGGACCACATCAGTTGGCCTGCTCCATCGTTCTTCACTCTACTCTCTTGAGGCAGTCTCTCCCTGAGCTTGATAACTCGCGATTGGCCCCATGCAAGCCCCGTGATCCTTCTGCCTCAGTCCTCTTACAGAGGTGCGGGCCTTTGACACGATGGCAGCGGATTTGAACTAAGGTCCTCATGCTTGCTCAGCTAGCATTCTTACCCAGTGCCCCATCTTCCCTTGCTCTGGTTGGCAAGCTCTTAAGGTTGGTTAATCCTAATGGTTGACTAATGCATGAGGAGAATGTAGTTAGAAATGCCGTGTAACCTTTAGGGAAGAGGAATGACATGAGAGGCTTATGTGCTTCTCTTCTGATTTTTCACGACCAGGAAAATGCCCAACAGTATTTTTACAGCAGTAGCCAGAGATTGTATCTACAAAGATGTTTTGGGTTGGTAAAGGAAAGCTAAAAATAAATAAGTAGAAACAATGGAGTTGCTCACAGATGAAGAATAAAGTAGATCTAGGTGGGCTGATATAGAAATATCTCTGAAATGAACTAAGTGTGATGGTACATGTCTGTAATCCTGGGGAGGGCTGAGGCATGAGGAGTAAGTACCAAGTTCACCACCACCCTGGGCTACAATAGACGGGGCACTGAGTTAAGGAAATCTGTGTAGAGTGAGAACACACTTTTTCTAAGATGTGTGTGTGTGTGTGTGTGTGTGTGTGTGTGTGTGTGTGTGTGTAAAAATCTTGGAAGGTATAGAAGAAACTTAATAATTACCTTGGTGGCTGAGGCCACGGAGGAAGGATTCTGAGGGTCTGTCTTACTTCACTGTTAGCATTCCTGTATTGTGCTGATTGATGATTTTCCTACAAGTATATAACTTTATAATCATAAATAAAAGTTGAAAAGCATTTCACTCAACCCCTGTTGAGGTCAAGTTTAAAAAGCCCCCGGGGAAAGTGTGACAGGCGAGAGAAAAGGGAAAAACTTCTTCCCCTCTTTATTTGAAACCACAAAGTGCTTCGAGTGGTGCCTGGCAAAGAAACCAGCTCTCTGTCGATGCAGAGTTCACTGTGAGTTCTAAGTTGCTCTCCTCGATTTCCCTCTCTTCTGCCTGATCTCTAATTTTAGAAATCCTCAGATGTTGTGTGGGGAAGGATCTTGTCAATGACCATAGGTTTAAACAACATCTGGGTATTGACTGTTCCCAGATTGTGATCTAAGCCTTGACTTTAACCCCAGTTAGCCTCATCTTATGTATCTGCAGTTCGGACATCCCCGTTTAAATGTATTTAAATGTATTATGCACATTTAAAATTTAACATGTCCAAAATGAGCTATTTCCTTAGAATTTGAACATTCCCTCTCCCCAAACAGGAGGGGTGTTCTAAGACTCAGAAAGCCACAAGATGCACAAGCTCAGGCTCCCAGAGTTATAAAGGCAGTAAACAGAGAGGCAAGCCACCCTGCGTCCCCTTCCCCCACTCCGCCTCTCTGCTTCTCATAGGTCAAATGTCCTTTACTTATGAGGCTAGCCTAGCTGCTGAGCCTAAATCAGGTTCACTCCCTTTCTAACCTGTAACCCTCCAGCTTTGTATATTTTTTCTTGCTATTCGCTGTACTATCTTTTCCTGTTCTTACTTTGTGTTTCTTCTCTCACTAGAATGTGAGTGCCACATGATCACAGGTTGCACCTTATTCACACTTGTAGAAATCAGAACTGTGCCTGATACACAGTAGTGTTCACCACATACAGTGAAGAAATGAATGGCAGTGACACAGGATGGCTGGAAACAGGATTAAATACAGGCAAAAGAGCAGAAGAGGGACATGAAGAAGTATGCTTTTCGACAGATGACTATTACTTTTCTCATCACTGTTACAGAATACCAACAGAAGCAACTATAAGGAGAAGGGGTTTTTCTGGGTTCACCGTTTCAGCAGCACCAGTCCATCATGCTGGACCAGCACCACGGTGGTGGGCACACGAAGCTGCAGCTCCTCACATCTTGGCAGATCCGGAAGCATCTGACTTAGACTGGAAGCAGACACACACATAACCTTCAGGGCCCACTCCCAGAGACCCACTTCTCCTAGCTGGACCGTCTGTTCCAGAGGTTCCACAGCCTTCCAAAACACTGAGACCAACTGGTATTTCAGGTGTTTAAACACATGAGCCTGTCAGAGGACATCTCATATTCAAACCATAAGTGATGAAGGGGTGAATATGACAGTATGAGAAGCCTCGTTGTGAGCCACTGTTAACTTCAGGGCATAAAGCTTGTGCCTAGGCACAGTAATGTTGTAGAATATTATTTTAAGGTGTGTTACTTTTGTTTATGTTGCATTTGTTTAACTCTGTGAAGCTGTGTTACTTTGCCTGTCTAAAACACCTGATGGTCTAATAAAGA